TCGGCATGGAGGAGGACACTTGTGGGGATGAGCGCTGGGTGTTATGTGGAAACTAATTTGACAATAAACTATTCGTAAAAAAAAAAAAAAAAGAAAAAGAAAAAGAAAACCAAAGCAGGAAGCATCACAATCCCAGACTTCAAACTATATTACAAAGGTGCAATAATCAAGACAGTATGGTACTGGCACAAAAACAGACACTCAGATCAATGGAACAGAATAGAGAACCCAGAAATGGACCCACAAACGTATGGCCAACTAATTTTTGACAAAGCAGGAAAGAAAGAACATCCAATGGAATAAAAACAGTCTCTTAGGCAAGTGGTGCTGGGAAAAAAGGATAGCAACGTGCAGAAAAATAAATGTGGACCACTTTCTTACACCATATCCAAAAATAACTCAAAATGGATGAAAGACCTGAATGTAAGACAGGTAGCCATCAAAATCTTCAAGGAGATAGCAGGCAAAAACCCCTCTGACTTTGGTCGCAACAACTTCTTATTCAACACGTCTCTAGAGGCAAGGGAATCAAAAGGAAAAATGAACTACCAGGACTTCATCAAAATAAAAAATGTCTGTGTAGTGAAGGAAACAATCAGCAAAATTAAAAGGCAACTGATGGAATGGAAGAAGATATTTGCAAATGACATATGAGATAAAGGATTAGTATCCAAAATCTATAAAGAACTTATCAAACTAAACACCCATGGGGCACCTGGGTGGTTCAGTCAGTTAAGCGTCTGAATTCAGCTCAGGTCATGATCTCATGGTTTGTGAGTTCAAGTCCCGCATCAGGCTCTGTGCTGACAGCTCAGAGCCTGGAGCCTGCTTCGGATTCTGTGTGTCTCTCTCTGCCCCTTCCCTGCTCACACTCTGTTTCTCTATCTCCAAAGTAAATAAACATTAAAAAATTCAAACACCCAAAAAACAAATAATCCAGTGAAGAAATGGGCAAAAGACATGAATAGACACTTCTCCAAAGAAGACATCAGATGGCCGACTGACACATGAAAAAATGTTCAACATTACTCATCATCAGGAAAATACAATCAAAACCACAGTGAGAGACCACCTCACGCCTGTCAGAATTGCTAACATTAACAACTTAGATAACAACAGATGTTGGCGAGGATGAGGAGAAAGAGGATCTTTTTTGCACTGCTGATGGGCATGCAAACTGGTGCAGCCATTCTGGAAAACAGTATGGAGGGTGCTCAAAAAATTACAAATAGATCTACCCTATGACCCAGCAATTGTACTACTAGGTATTTATCCAAGGGATACAGGAATACTGTTTCAAAGAAGCACATGTACCCTAATGTTTATAGCAGCACTATCAATAATAGCCAAAGTATGAAAAGAGCAAATGTCCATCAATAGATGAATGGATAAAGAAGATGTGATACACACACACACACACACACACACACACAATGGAGTATTACTCAGCAATCAACAAGAATGGAATCTTGCCATTTGGAACTATATGAATGGAACTAGAGGATATTATGCTAAGCGAAATTAGTCTGAGAAAGATCAATATCATATGACTTCACTCATATGAGGACCTTAAGACACAGAACAGATGAACATAAGGGAGGGAAGCAAAAATAATATAAACACAGGGAGGGGGACAAAACATAAGAGACTCTTAAATATGGAGAACAAACAGAGGGTTACTGGAGGGGTGGTGGGAGGGGGAATGAGCTAAATGGGTAAGGGGCATTAAGAAATCTACTCCTGAAATCATTGCTGCACTATATGCTAACTTGGATGTAAATTTAAAATATAAATTTAAAATAAATAAATAAATAAAAATTTTAATTTACTTATTTTTGAGAGAGAGAGAGAGCAGGGGAGGGGCAGAGAGAGAGGGAGAGAGAATTCCAAGCAGGCTCTGCACTGCCAGTTTGCAGGGCTCAAACTCAACAAACCGAGAGATCATGACCTGATCTGAAATGAAGAGTCAGATGCTTAACCAACTGAGCCACCCAGGTGTTCCATATTCTTTTGATTATTTAATCTCATTTACATACGACCATTGCTAAGAGATGACCATTGTTAAGAAAAATGCAAAAATGGTGTTTGGGATGTTAGAAATTAATAAAAATACTCTTTGCATTATAAATTGAGAAGTGATATCATAATCTCTATAGGTTATTTACATTGCATCTTAACCAAAGACACATTCACTATAGATCGCTCAAATATTTTACACATGTGAAGATGGCCTTAAAAAAAAACTTTAATGCCTCAGTGTCTTCCTGAAGAATTATGAGAATATTTAGCTGTTTTAATATCTTACACGTATCACCAAGCAAAGATAAGAAAACCTCAGAATTCAACAAGATCTATGTGCTTATTACTTCTTATGCATATATCAGAAGTTGATTCCAAAAACTTATACTTTGAAGTAGAAAAAACAATATCTATTCCCTTTTCATTCATACGTGGAAAGAACCATAGATAGTAGCCAAGCCAGTTGTCTAAAGTTGAAGTATTCATTATATATCCTAGGATAAATTCATAATACTTATGTACTCAATTTAGTAGATGATAAAAAAAAGGACTAGAGACTGGTTAAATCATATCTTCTCACATATGCCCCAAATCCATCTCCTTGGTCGATACCTAGCTTTTAAGCCAATCTATCCGTGCTACAGGATACCATTGGAGGTGGGGGGTATGAAATGACACCAGGTTTATTTATTTTTTAATGCTTAATGCAGTAATGCAGAAAAGGACTTCCATTCATCTATGCTCAACATGGAGCTCTAAACTCTGACTCCTTAGGCAAAGAAGATGAGATACTTTTGGTAATGACATTGGGAGCTTTGCTAAAGATGTCTGATAAGCTCCAAACACTCGAAATTTTGAATCCAGACTCCCAAAAGGGTATGCGATAGAATGCACAAAGACCAGGACTGAAGCTTTATGTCTGTGTGTTCATAACATTATGAGTATAGTTTAAAACTACAGGTTTATGACTAAAGATGGTTTTGAGGAACACTAGATGTCAAAAAATCTGGCTTCCTAGCTTGGGTATTCCACAAACTGTTAACACTGCACTAGCAGCTTAATCTTTCTGTCTTGATTCCCTCATCAATATTTAAGTTTAAATAACATCCATTCAAATGCTCCAACAGATCATGAACAACTAACTTGAAAACGAAAAATTTTAGAGCTTTTGCAATTAAGTGGAAATTTACCTTTCCAAAGTCATTTCTTAAGTCATCAGCACCCACCAGCCTGCCCGGTGTCTTGTTTGCTAGCTTCTGCCCCATTTCCTTCTGCTGAGATTTCCTGCCCACTCTGCTCACCTCTGTAATTCTTTTTTTTTTTTTTTAAGTTTATTTATGTTTTTGAGACAGAGAGAGAGAGAGAGAGTGAGTGAGCATGCACTAGTGGGAGAGGGGGCACAGAGAGATGGAGAGAGAGGAAGAAGCCCAAACAGGCTCCATGCTGTTAGTGTGGAGTCCAATGTGGGGCTCAAACTCATGAACTGTGAGATCATGACCTGAGCCGAAGTTGGACATTTAACCAACTGAGGCACCCAGGCACTCCTCACCTCTGTACTTCTTCCCCATTCTTCAAGACCCAGACCTGTGTCCATCTCCTTGAAGCCTCCCAGGCCACACACATTGTGACTGTACACATAGTGTATGTGAGCCCTCAAGGACAGAGCATGACCGACTCCTTTGGATGCTGCCCCCAGGATCCCCCCACAGCATAAGTTGCAGAGTCCAGAATGAAATAAAAGGAATACTGTGGCTTTCCCCTCCCCTTGATCCTTCAGACTTCATAGCATTCACGACATTCAACCCCAAATCCCAAGATTTCAAAGATAGGAAGACTGAAGACTTATGTCCCACAAGGTAATTACTGATGAGGCAAAAGGATCTGGTGCCTGTTTCCTCACATTTATTTTGAACATGCACAATGGGCTTGCTTTGTTTAGCGGGTATTTAGAATTGGATGTGACCGGGCTTAACCGTGAGCCAGCCTCAGTGTTTCACCATTAACATGCATAGCCCCTAGAAGGACAACTGAGGAGTCCAGCATTGAGAATTTAAGATGACTCACTTAAAACTTCCCCATTACCAATGTCTATGTGGTTTCTACAAAGTTATAAAAACAACGGGAGACTATAGGAAGACGACTTCCACTGTCATCCACAGTAACTAATCTTAAAGAACTGTGAAATCCGATTTTATTTCTCGCTTATGTGGAGCCGAAGTTAATCTACTTTTCACATGTGAAATCCATTCATGATTCTGTCACAAAGTGTAGAACCGATATTAAGTAGTGTTAATTCCCAGCTAAATGTCACACTAATTCATCGGATGAACTTTGTGCTACTGGAATATTACAGTGCTCATGGGGTAAAAGCCACCAATATATGAATTCACAGACTGAAGTAAGCAGACCCTGGCCCCACCCCATGCCTACCAGAAAAGGAAAGATGAGAGACTTTTGTATGTTGCAAGTCCGGGTCTGGTTTATTTATAAAGCAATAAATATTAGAAGCACAAATAAATTGCACATGTGTAAACAAACTGTACAATGATTGATGAGAGATAAGGGAGGGTAGTTCAGAAGACTCCAAGAAGCATAATACTGTCATCCTGAATGTAAGGTAGGGTAGACTAAGAGAGAAGGCACCTCAGAAGCATTTGCGGTGGACGATGGATGGGCCTGCCTCATCATATTCTTGCTTGCTAATCCACATCTGCTGGAAGGTGGACAGGGAGGCCAGGATGGAGCCCCCGATCCAGACAGAGTACTTACGCTCAGGGGGAGCAATAATCTGTAGAAAGAGAACAAAAACTTTCAGTGAACTCTGACATCCCAGGCAACAGAGCCAGCAACATGCTGGAGAGAGAGATTCGCCGAAAAAAATATGAGTTAGAGTTCATCATAATGTGAGATATTTCATACCAGAAATTAATATGGCTGAATCAAGTTTTATGCATTGTCCTTTATTACATTGTTTCCCTTATCAAAGGCTCTTCAAAATAGAATCGCCCCACTTCCCTGAACTAGAGTATAGTGTGGCAACAAGCTGTATATACGATAGAGGACAGTCCAAAAGTTGGGGACTTGTAAAATATGTTCAAAGATTTAGGTTTTTTTTTCCTTCCAAGATTTATTATTATCTACTGCTTCAAAATGTTTTTAGAGTCTCCTATGTCGAAACGAGTGCTAGAAAAGCTAAGAGGAAAAGTTTACAGGAGACGGGAAGCAAAATGTGAGTTCTACTTATAATACTAAGACCTGCCTTGGCTCTCCCACCTGCAGGAATTCTTTACCTTAATCTTCATGGTGCTGGGGGCCAGGGCAGTTATTTCCTTTTGCATGCGATCAGCAATACCAGGGTACATGGTGGTACCTCCAGATAAGACATTGTTGGCATACAGGTCCTTGCGGATATCAATGTCACACTTCATGATGCTATTGTAAGTTGTTTCATGGATGCCTGCAGATTCCATACCTAGAAATAGGTAGCGAGTGCACTCAGGCTGGGGGCCCAGGGTGGAGGGAAGAAAACAGGACTCCTTTGTGTTGATAAACACATTTGTCTCCCATTTGTCTCTGAAACATATGCTCCTCTATAAGATACACTGCAAGGCATTTGTGGAACAGGTGTGTCTAAAAGTGCTGACAGCCAGTCCCCAACAGACTGCCAAGACACAAACAACTGTGTTTAGCACCTGTTTGGAGTGAACACTTGCAGTATCCATCAGATGTACGGAGGTTTATTTGGAAAGGGTGAGACATACATTAAAATTAATGCAATTTTTATTTGTGAACCTAAATAAGATCCTGACAAGCTTCCTCTTAGAAGACATTCCTGAGGAAAGATGTTTGGTGAAATGCAAGGGTCTAGTTATTACTATGAGTAGGACTATTGTTGCATTTAATGAGTAACTTCAGAGGGAAGTCCAGCTACTTGGACAACTTACTGGAATAAGTCAGCACTTCTGAGTAATCATTCCTTTCCTGCAGATACAGATTATTCAATTACTATTCTGTCAGAGCCTTTATTTGGACATGAAGTCAGTGTGACATCCTTTATCATATCACTGCAACAGAACAGTATGGCCATCCTTGTAATGGGCCATCAGGCTCTGATGCTGAGCTGCGTGGGTCTCTAAGCTATGACTTCTTTTAACTCAAGGGCTTCTTAATCCTTCTTAATTAGAATAGATTTTACTCTGGGACACCCCATATTTCTAGACAAAAGCTGTGCATGTGTACCAGACCCTACAACTCACCGATGAAGGAGGGCTGGAAGAGTGTCTCAGGGCAGCGGAAGCGCTCATTGCCAATAGTGATGACTTGGCCATCGGGAAGTTCATAACTCTTCTCCAGGGAGGAGGAAGAGGCAGCTGTGGCCATTTCATTCTCAAAATCCAGGGCCACATAGCACAGCTTCTCTTTAATGTCACGGACAATTTCACGTTCAGCTGCAGATATAAAGGTTATCACAGTCAAGTTCTGAAGGATGGAGTAGGCAGATTCTGTGGTGGAGGAAAACAGCAGACACGATGCTGGAGCAGAGGAGACACATACACACACACACACTTACCAGTGGTGACAAAGGAGTAGCCACGCTCAGTGAGGATCTTCATGAGGTAGTCAGTAAGATCCCGACCAGCCAGATCCAGACGCATGATGGCATGGGGCAAAGCGTAGCCCTCATAGATGGGAACGTTGTGAGTTACACCGTCACCAGAGTCCAGAACAATGCCTGTTGGGAGATATAGACAAGAACAAAGTAAATTCCCAAGGACATCACTGCTTCATTTGTGTCAAAGCCTACTTCCAATCTTGGCTAAAAGATACTAGCACTGGGCATGGATCCAGATAAAATTAGATTCCTTACACACAAAGAATAAAAATGAGCATAATGAGTGCTAAATCTGAAGCCAGCAACAGCTCACCCTTTTAAATATTGTAGTAGAAAAATTTCCCCAGGACACTTTCAAATGACCAGCCCTTTTATCAGCCATTAGCACATTATGTAAGTCTCGAGCCATGGTTTTCTTTCCTCCCATCCAACAAGCACGTGTTCTCTCTTTTTTGACTCAGACCCCATAGGAAACATTGGTTCTCCTTGAAGATGTCTGCCCAGGGATGGTGATGGTATGGAACACATTGCGAGGAGCCTTAATATGTGACATCACCTACTTTAGGAAAGGTAAGGCTCTGACTCCATGTGGTCTCATCTCTCAGAAATGCATGTGATCTGAAACTGTTGTTACCTCTCTCTCAGGGAGTGTGAGGGAAGGGATCATTCTTTTCTCAACTGGGAAGGCTGATTCATAGCAAGGTCAGTACCTTAGGAATGCGCTTAATCAGTGACTATCTCCACAGCCCTAACATACCTGTGGTGCGGCCAGAAGCATACAGGGACAGTACCGCCTGGATGGCCACATACATGGCAGGGACATTGAAGGTCTCAAACATGATCTGGGTCATCTTCTCACGGTTGGCCTTAGGGTTCAGGGGGGCCTCAGTGAGCAGAGTGGGGTGCTCCTCAGGGGCTACACGGAGCTCGTTGTAGAAGGTATGATGCCAGATCTTCTCCATGTCATCCCAGTTGGTGATGATGCCGTGCTCAATGGGGTATTTGAGAGTCAGGATACCTCGCTTGCTCTGGGCCTCATCACCCACGTAGGAGTCCTTCTGACCCATACCCACCATGACTCCCTAGAAGAGGGAAAAGATGGGAAAGTCAAGCTTCCACTATTTTGGGAATATAACTGATGTCTTACAAATTCACATTTAACTGGCCAAGTCAAGGAACATCTTATAAATACCAATAATAATAATAAATAGAATTTTACCCCAATGTAGAAATATCATTTAAAATCAGTCTACTTCCTTCTCTCAACCCCAACCCCCACTCCCCAGGTATAATTCTATTCTTTAAAATATAACTGGGGAAAGGGGAATGAAGCTACCTCACCCAAGAAGTACAGCCTCACCTCATTTTAAAAATACCATAAAGCCTTCATTAAATTATTAAGTCCATCACCCATGTCAACTGGAATATAAATGACTGAACTGATGACACCTCGTATTTCTCCTAAGAAAAGATTTTGACATTCATCAAGTGGACATAAAAAGATGGACTGATATGCCATTATCACTCCACAAGCAAAATCCAGCCTGCCCAGAGCTGGCCTGCAGTACCCATCAGTCACCAGCATGGAGGCATACAGCTCTCCAGCCCTGGCAGCCTGTCTGGACAGGCATGTGGCAAAGCCAGGGAGCGTGGCATTTCTTTTAATAAACAAGGTGGTATGTCACTATCACCATGGCACTTGCTGCCTCTGTCACGCCTGGCTTCTAAAAATGCAGCAGCCAGGAAGCAGATAGATTACATCCTTGGGGAGCCCAGAAAGCTGGCTGTGAACAGAGGGAGGAATGTGGGTTGGGTCCTGGTTGGTTGAGAGAAGTTATATCGTGTAAGTTTTGAACAGGACTGAAAAGGGAGGCTAAGGGAAAAACTGAAGTGTAGAAGGGGCAGAGAAGACCCGGAGTACTAAAAATACAGGTGCGGAGTGGAGGAGAGGAGCCGCTGACTTTTCATACAAGGAGTGGGCCCCTTGGAGAGCTGTGTCCCCTGCAAGGTGGAAAGGGGCCCCGTTGTACTTAGGTGCTGTGTTGCTGGTGGTGTGAGTATTGTCCGTCTTGGCTTGGATTTGAGGCTAATCCATCTTTACCTTATTTGACCTAAGCAGTTCATGAAACAGGGGTGTCAGGTGAGGAAATGAACATTTCCTGGATTGCTGGACTGAGGAGGAGACAAGCAGGGGTGCAGAGTGCGGCTGCGGACTGCGCCGCGTAAAAGCAGGCCAGTCGGGGCGGGAGGTTTACCTGGTGGCGCGGGCGGCCCACGATGGAAGGGAAGACTGCACGGGGCGCGTCATCCCCAGCGAAACCCGCCTTCACCAGCCCAGAGCCGTTGTCGCACACAAGAGCAGTGGTCTCCTCGTCGTCACACATCCTGGCACAGCTTCAGCGGGGTCTGCAGATGGGAGAACCCGGCGGCCAGGGCTCACTGCCTGCGGCGGCGCTGGCCTCCTCCCGGTGGAAGGGGCAGAGCAGAGGAGGGGTCGGGGGCGACGGAGAGAACGCCCGCCGCCTCCCTTCCCGTCAGGGCAGAAGAGGAAGGGTGGGGAGAGGCTGAGGAGGTCGAGGGGGATGTGCATAGAGTAGGGGAGAGGAACTCATCCAGGCTCCTGGCCGGGAGTCACTCTCTGTCCTGGGGGCAAGGGAGGTACCGTCACCCCGCAGCAAGTCCTCCCCAGCCCTTCACACGTTTGCCTTTCCACGAACTGAGAGCCCCCCTAGGCCCCAGCCACACCCCCATGCCCGGTCCCCAGCTGGAGGGAAGCGCATACAAGAGCGAGGAACCCCTAACGCCCCGTGGGGGCAGGGGCCGCAGGGTTCGCGTTCTGCGCGCCACTCTCTTGTGATGACCCAGGACAATAGAAGTTAGAACCAAATCGCGAAGTTTGGGGTTTTTTTTAAAGAAAGAAAGAAGAAAAAAAAAAAAGGTGGCGGCGCGGCAGATCAGGGCTCGCCGGCTCGGGGCGGGCTGGGCGGTCTGGGCACTGACTCACCGTCCGCGGGTCGGGTTCGGCTCGGCTCGGCGGCAGGCGCTGGTGCCCGGCGCGGGGCGCGCCGCTTTATAGTGCGCTGACGGACGGGGTCAGTTGGAGCGGCCCGGGGCAGGGGTGGGGGGCCTGGTCGGCCACCTTGCCTTATTTGGTCGCCTTCGCACCACTGAGGAGCGCCCAGGCCATTCATGGAGCCAAGGGCAGGGGAGAGGATCAGCCAGGGGGCTCCCAGACCATGTAAGGAAGGGGAGGGGGCAACCAGGGGGATGGCCAAATAGGGAGCTAGGGAGGGGCGGGCGGCGAAGGGTAGGGGGCAGGGGAAGACTGAGTGACGCCAGCCCACCTCCTCCCCCTTCTTGGATGGAGGTGCACCCTGGGTGTGCTGTGGGTTTGTTCCTCCACAGCCCCGCCAGCCCGAGACAATAAGCCACACACAAGCCGGAAGGCTTGGCCCTCTGCCCTCTGCTGAGGGGTCCTGACAGCTGGACCAGTACAGCAAAGGAGTGACAGCAGCTTCTCATCTTCCACGACTGGAGCCCTGACAGTCCTCATGGGCCCTAAAGGCACCACACCAGCACATTTGGGTGGCCAGAAAAGGGGCACCTGGGACAGGTCACCCTTCTGGTCTGGTCCCCACCGGTCTGGGTGACTTGATTCAGGTTGCCGGGGCCACGCTCCTCTAGGTCAGAAAGCTGAAATTAATCAAGACCACTCTGACCCCCAGCTCATGCATGGCTTAGGGTCTGGCTAGGGAAGAGGCTCAGAAGAACCACAGTGAGATCCTGACCAAGTCTTGCTGGAAAAGAGGCCAGGTTTCCCCCAGCACAGATAGCAGGTGGCTCTCCTCCTGCTGCCAAGGTTTTGCTCAAATTCAGGCTCCTGTCTTCAGGCTAGAAAAGGATCCCCTGCTGCCAAAGCGAAAGAAGGAAGGAATGCCAAAAGTAGCATGTGCACTTGGTGGTGGATAGATGAACATCTGTAAACTGGGGGCAAAGGCCTTTATTCCAAGTGGAGACAAGACTGAAAGAGCAAATATTCTTGTCAAGGAGATAACAGCAGCTTCAACCAAACGCACACATCACAGGAGAGCAGAGTTAGAAAAGCAGAGCCTCGCCTCCACCCCACCCCCACCCCTTGAACTACTGAATCAGAATTGGCAAGATGCCCAGTTGACTCCTAGGTACACTAGAGTGTGAGAAGCAGTGGTATAAATGATATCAGCTCTTTCATGGAAACAGATGTGGAAGGGCTACATCTTGGGGCTTTAGAGAAGGGAACAGAGAGATGACATGAACTGGGAAGAGGAGAAAGGAACAGAGAGACCTAAGAAGGACACACGCAGATCACAGATTTGCTCTGGGGTGCCCTGTGTTCTGGGTTCTTGACTGGCACTTTGATTTTTAATGCTTGTGTTTCCCCTCCCGCTCACACCAGTTAAAAATAGAAAACTGGGCACAGGCATTCATCTCTAGAGTGGTCTTGGATTGATATGCTGAGGAGGTCTACTGATTAGATACTTGTCCAGACTAGGGAATGTTGGGCTCTCCCCGCTGAGCTCCCCAACCATGTTTGGGTTGGTCTGGAGAAGAAACTGTGGGGGCAGCTGGGTGATGGAGCCAGGTGAGGGGTCTGGCTGCGATCATGCTTGCTCCCACACAAAATGCCTTTGACAATGAAAATGCCATTGACAGGATGCAAAGTGCGGAGCTGTCTCAGCTCAAGCAGTTGCAGAAAAACTAAGAAAATGGAGAAATGGGACTGGTGTTATAGACAGACAGCCCTGGGTTCAAATCCTGACCTCTGTTACTTCTGGTGCATTTGGTCTTGGGCAGATCACTTCACTTTCCTGAGCCTCAATTTTCCCCTCTGAAAAAGGACACAATAACAATAACTCTTTTCTGGCAGGGTCTATTAATTAGGGACACGTGATAGAATCCACATAGAAGATACAAAGCAAATTTTCTCTGTTACAGTTCAGGAATAGGGATACTCTTGGAGGCAGCAGTAGCTTTTTCTTTTGAAGAATTGGGTCAATTTCATTCACTTATTGATTCAGCAAATATTTATGGGACAAGAACTATGCTACTAACAGGGATGCAGTGATAAGTAAAACAGAGCAGTGCATACTCCAGGGCAGTTATAGAAAAGTCAGAGCCACTTATGGTGCATGCTGGGGTGACAAAGGAGGGAATCACGGGACAGTCATGAAAAGAGGGATCTGAAAGAGAGGTCAGAGAGAGTCCTTTTTTGTTTGTTTTTTAACCCTATTTATTTTTGAGAGGCAGAGAGAGAAAGAGCATGAGCAGGGGAGGGGGAGAATGAGAGGGAGATACAGAATCTGAAGCAGCCTCCAGGCTCTGAGCTATTTGTTAGCACAGAGCCCAACACGGGGCTTGAACTCACAAACTGCAAGGCCGTGACCTGAGCTGAAGTCTGATGCTCAGGCAGTCATGAGCCACGAAGGCACTCCAAAGCCTTCTTGAAGAAGTATAACTTCATTGTCTTTAAAGTAGACTAGGACTGAAATTTGTGAACATTTGTGTGAAAGCAAGTTTCGACCTGGGGTTGCAGATGGCAGATTTCCAGGCTTACTGCCATATATGCAAAGGGAACTCCTGGAAAAGTCCAGTTGATCACTGAGCACACCAAGGCTACTGACCTGAAGCCTTTTCAAATACTTCCAGGGCACAGGAGGCCAATTCCAGCTGGCCCACCTTGGGATCAGTCTGCTCTGGTGGGGGTGGGTAGGTGGGTGGAGCACTGAGACCAGTTTCATAAGAGAATCTAACCCCTTAAAATGTTCTTAAAACAGTTTCATTTCTCTCTCATTCAAAACAAAATGTAGGAGCCCCTACGTGGCTCAGTGGGTTGACTATGCAACTTTCCCTCAGGTCATTATCTCACAGTTCATGAGTTGAAGCCCCACATCGGGCTGGCTGCTGCCAGCGCAGAGCCTGCTTTGGGTCCTCTGTTCCCCTCTCTCTGCCCCTGCCCTGCTTGTGCTCTCTCAAGAATAAATAAACATTAAATCAATAAAACAAAATGTATTTTCATATGCATTGTGTTATGGCAACAAAGAACACTTTTTTTCCCCTTAAAGATGTATGATAGTTCAATATTTACTAATTGTAATACTGCTCAATTTCCACATTTTAAAACTCTGAACCCTATTTCATATACTTTAAAATATAAGTCAATGGGAAAGTAAGATTCAATGACTGATTTTCTTTTTCTTTTCTTTTTTTTTAGCGCACACTTGAGATAGAGAGTGTGCACAAGTGAGTAAGGGGCAGAGAAAAAGAGGGAGGAGAGAGAGAGAGACAGAGAGAGAGAGACAGAGAGAGAGAGAGAGACAGAGAGAGAGAAGAGGGGCTCACCCAGGGCTCATGTTTTTACCCAAAGCAGGGCTCATGCTGACCTGATGTGGGACTCAAACTTACAAACTGTGAGGTCATGTCCTGAGCCAAAGTCAGTTGCTTAATAAGTAAGCCACCCAGGTACCCCCTGCTTTTCATTTGATACAATTTTTGAGGGATCCATTTAATTTGAAAATTAAGATTGGCTTCTGTCACATTTACTTAAGTATGTACAAATAACCTGTCCTCTGTGGTGCAGCCTAGATATTCCTTTTTTTTTTTTTTGTGGCAAAATATGCATAACCTATAATTTACCATCTTAACCACTTAAACTTGTACAGCTCAGCAGTGTTAAGTATATTCACATTGTTGTGCAACCAATCTCCCAATTTCATTTTTTGATACAAATTTGGATTAAAGTGACTTCAAAAGCCAGGAGTGGCTGTGTCCTGCAGCGTGAGAAAGACTGGTCTATATTCTCTGAGGCAGGGAACCATTGTACCTGTTTTGCCAGAGGTCACTGAGATGAGCAAAGGGAAAAGTGAAGATTCACATCCAGACACCTGACTGTGCCCTGTTCTGACCACTACCCGAAACGCCTTCCCAGACTCTACCTGGGCTGCTGTTTCTCAGAGTGGAACATTAGAACCACTTGCAGCCAAATTACAGGGACTACCTAGTAGAAATTCAACTTCCCAGGTTACACCCTGGGAGACTGAGTCTGCATTTAAATAAGTCACCGCCTCTCTTTCCCAGGTGATTCTCGGAGGGAGAACCTTGGCCTCACGGCCTGGCTGTTTCCCCCATGGAGCTCTCTGCTCAGTGCTGCCCAAGCTGCCAGCCCTGGCAGGAGTCCAGCTTGGCCGACCTTGAGCATCCCGGCGGGAGGGAAAGCCAGGGTATGTCCCCAGGGCTCTCAAGGGCCCTTGAGGCCCTTCTGGGCAGGGACAGGCCATGAGGCAGACGTGCAGGGCAAGCTGAAGGAACAGAAGGTGGGATAGTTCCCGCTGCCCTTGCCTCGAGGGAAGCCTGTTTGGTCCACCATCTGCTGGGATCTGGAAGGGAGCGGCCAGCCTCCTCCGGGCACTGGGGGATTAGCAGTCACTTATCTCAGCTGTTCCTCCATTGGAGGTGTCGCAGTATTTACAGAGAAGCCAGAAACAGACTGAGCCACACTTAATTCCTCCCCACGAGCCCTCCCCACTGCCCCTGCGGCCCCTCCTGCATTCCTGGGCAAGGAGGGAGGGAGAGGCTCTTTCTAGACCACACCAAAGGTCGGGGAGCCAGCTTTCTGAAACATTTCTATTTTCTTTCCCTACACATTTGTTCACTCCCACTGCCCTCTGGCTGGAGCCGGGTTTCAATTTTCATTAAAAGAAGAAAGTGATGTGACTGTGAGGATTGCGTGGGGCCCCCACACATCCTGGTGCTCAGAATTCAATACCGAGGTATGCCTAATCTCCGCCACATGCTTTCCCATATTTCACGCGCAACCACCAAAGAGATGACCCCAGGGGGAGGGCATTTCAACTCTCCACGGATTCTGCTCTTGGCCAATTCTGGCAGTGGCTGCCTTCTGACATGATAGGACCAACAGTGATGAACCATTTAATGAGATTTTGAAAAGGAGGACAAAGCAAGGAGGAAGGGAGACGAGGAAGCAGGGGGTGGGGGTGGAGGATTCTTCTGGATCTTGGAGTCACATGGATCTAACAATCTAAAAGCTGCATTTTCACTCCCTTCTATCCTGTTGTAAGTCCAGGAAATCACAAAGGATTTCTAATAGGCTTTTTTAATTCCTTAAAAGGACTGTGCCCTCAAAGAATGAAATGCTGATGCTCACAGGTTTCTGCCTGGAAGGTGTTTCTCTTAGCTCAGATTTGGCTTGCTCCCCACACCAGCAATAACTCTATTTATGGAGTTTCAGTTTTTCAAGTGTTACCTGGAACAAGCCTGCCTTTCCTGGAGAGCCCAGGTGTGCATTGCGCAACCTAAGCTTGACCGGGTTTCATGTCCGTACACGTGTCAGAGAGACCGTGTAGGTGAGATCTGTGAGCTCAGAGATGACAGCTGCTTTTTATTCAACTGCACTCCACGGAGCCCATCTCCTCCCCATGAAAGGCTGGGCATTCATTTGACACACAATAACAGCAGTAGGAATACTAATCACTAATCTTCCTGAGCACAGGCTGGGGGCCGTGCACTAACTTGAGACCTTATGCAGGTACGTGGTCCACTAGAAGCTTTCTAGATGAAGCGAGATGGGCCGCCAGCTGCAGAGTCCACAGAACTGCCCTTTGAGGTGATGTCGCCAGCTTCTACTGAGGGGATGTGTAAGAAGCAGACTGCCTCTGTCACAAACTGAGGTACCACTACCTCGAATGCAAAAATATTGTCACCAGTGTTCACCAAAGGACACTGTCTTTTCTCTGAGGCTCTTAGAAAAATTTCCTTGCTGGCTCTGGTACCAATAACAGAACTTCAGCGGTGGCTCAGATAACCATCTGACTCGGTTTTGGCTCAGGTCATAATCACGATTTGTGAGTTCAAACACAGCACTGGGCTCTGAGCTGACAGAGCAGAGCCTGCTTGGGATTCTCTCTCTCTCCCTCTCTCTCATCCCCTCCCTCATGCTCACTCTCTCTCCCCAAAATAAATACATAAACTTAAAACACACACACACACACACACACACACACACACACACACACACACACAAAACAATAGCACTGCTGTCAAGTAACTAGTTTGTTTTGATCCTGTAGATCCTGAATCTAGTGACTCACCAGGTGTTTCTTTGGGTGGGACTAAAAGAAATCTTAGAAAACCACCCATATGGTCCATTTGTTAATGTGATTACAAATCGTTATAGTCCGTTTTACATACCCACTTGAACTTCTCATTTTTCTTTGTCTTTCATTATTAACTGTCATCTATCTTTGTAAGCTGCCATAAAAGTTTTGTGGGACAAAACAAAGGATGGATGAATAAACATATAAGATTGAACTCTGGAGACAGTGGAGAGAATATTTGAAATTGGAGTGATCACTAAACAGGCAGCCAGGAATCCCGGAAGACTGGCATACGTCTGACGGTTTCTTTCATCCCACTGCAAGTATTATATTGCTTTGATATTCCTCTTTATATCATGATAAGTGTAACTAGAAATATAGAATAACATTTCCCCCATCACAAAACAATATGTACTTATTGTGGCAAACCAGAAAACACTGACCAGAAAAGTACAAAGAAAAAGACAAGTCTGGCTGAGTTTTTTAAGCCCTATATTTTAGCATCCCTAAAATAAAACTAAATGTGATATAAAATTCATGAGGCCTTGGCTTCCATATCTACTTAACAGGCGCGGGACTGAGGAAAGACAGCCTCCTATTCTGGTAGTTTGCAAGAATGTCCACTTGTTCTTCAAAGAGACACATGCAATGCAAGGAATTTACATTTAAAGTATGTCTTGGCTTCACTATTATAATCTAAATTATCTCTAGTCAACAGCTGGAGCCAAAGAATGCCAAATTGGGAGCAGGGTCTGCTCTTAAAACTATACCATCTATATCTCACTTATATATTTTAGAGGGCAGGTGTTATTTTCCAACTCAGCTGTCGAGCTCTTTCAAAATTGCAATCTAAAAACAGAGTTCTATTACGAACATAAAACTTGACCATATAAATATGTTGCTGAAAGCTTTGTCTTTATGTGGGGAGCTGGAAAACTGTTGTTTGGGGGAACATGTTTACGGTAACTGTATGATCAGTATTTCCCAGTTCCTCTTGGTTAGGGCTACAGATAACCGATTCATCTGCCCCCAACTCCCACAGCCTCTAATTTAATGTCATAAATTAGAAAAATAATAAAGATAAAGGCTTTGCCTAAAACCAGTGATCTGTATTAACTAGGGGAGGGAAACAGAGATGGTTTCTCCAAAATAGGAATAACCGAGGAGCCTTCTCAAGCTGTTGAGTGTGGATGCTGGTCCTCAAATAAATAACTAGGGCTAGGTGCTTCTGGAATTTCAGAGAGAAGAGCCAGCCTTCAATAACTGAGAATGGAAATGAATCAGCCATGAAACCATGATGTGGCTTTGAAAAATTATCAGAAAAATCTCAAGCTTTACCAAAAGGAGGTAACAATGTAAAGTATTATTTCACCAAAGAAATACCCTCAAGAACTACTGCATAGACTTCAGGTGAGAACATTCCTTGGAAGAACAAGAAGGGTGTCCTCTTCTTTAGTTACATTCTATTTAGATATGCAATATTTATAACTGCCACAAAAGGTTCATGCTGGGCCCATCTCTCCACCACCCAAGAAGATAGATAAAGCCATCTTCTTCCTGGGTCCTCTGCCCAATGAGAAGAGCTCTTTTCCTGAGGGTGCAGAAGTCTATTTCTAGAAAATCTATTACCCAGAGGAGAGGATGTTGAAGTGCAAAAGAGGAAGGGACCTATCACATTTTCTATTTTATATTTATGTATTACTTAATATTTTTCCAGAAGCATGTATTAATTTTTATAAATTTCAGAAAGGAGGAAAAAAATCTAATTTAACATCCTCTTGCTTAAAATCTAGCATCTTTTTGTCTCGCTTACCCAGTGGAGGTTTATAAATAATAACCTCCACATTTTTGAAGAAAGACATCGCCTCTCTGAGAGATGTTTCAGATATTGTTCACCAGTGGTGCTGTTTTTAAAACTGTCCTCATATTTGGTCAGTTATCTAATTCTGCTCCAAGATGTCTATGTGCAATACAATCTCTTTTAGCCAGATTGGCTAGGTATTGGGTTTCTGACACAGTGGAAAACAACCATTGTTTAGAGAATTAAACTCGTCTAAATACAGTCACACAAAACTGCAGAGAAGATAATTTCATTTTCTTTGATGCTTCAGAAGTTATTTATAGAATATTCTCATTTTGAACACAAATTCTTGTCATGTGCCAAGGTATGTGACACATGCATATCTATGAGACATAGAATATTGACAGACATAGAATACTGAGCTAAACTAAGATTACAACATCCTGAAAAGTTACTTCCATGAGTTAACTGTTAGTATCAACATATTTGCTATCTATTTATCTATTTTCTCTTAAAAATCAAGTATAGATCAGACCTCTGGTTCTGGCCAGGATGGAGCACCCTACACCTTCCAGGTGTTCCTTGTTACAACTGTGACATAATATATCAGACAGACATAGGAAAACTCAAAGGAGGAAAGATGAAGGTAGACTACCTAGGGACTCTGGGACTTGAGAAATGACATGGTGAGGAATCTAGTTTCTTTACTGCCTCCCATATAGCCCAGGCTGGGTACTACAGTAGCTTCCATCCTGGAGCCACCTAGGCAGGGATAAAGTAAGCTATGAGAAACATCTATTCCTGCTACTCAAAGAACCAACAAAGGAGTGGCGTCAGCCATAGAAAGTCTTTTTGGCAATCTTGCCCTACTTTGGACAAACATTCATACAGAATTGTCTCCCCCTCTCTCTAGGTTCAGTGGGGCAGAATAGGGAGCTGATCTTCCTCCTCACCCTCTCTCCCTGCAGAAGCCAATGGTGGGGCTCCAGTTCTCTTGCCCAGTCATATTGGTGGGACTGATCCTCCATTTCCTGCCCGCTGGAAGCAGGCAGAGTTCCTCACCTCCCACTAGGGTGGTGTCACCAGGGTGGCATGAAGGTTCTTATAGAACAGATTAAACTGTTCTATATTTTGGTGGCCATGTGAACCGCGTATGTGATAAAATTGCCTAGCACTAAATAGACAGACATATACATGAGTGCATGTAAAACTAAAACTGGTGGTATCTGAACATACTGATGGATTATATCAATGTCAATTAGCTAGTTGTGATATTGTGCTATAGTTATACAAGTTGTTGCCATTGGGGGGACACTGGATAAAAGTATAGGAGATCTCTGGATTATTTTGTACAATCTATAATTATCTCAAAATATAAAAGTATTAAAAGTCAAGTATAAGTGGTACCAAAATTCAGTGTTTTGAGTTTTCCAATCAGTTTGATTCTGAATGAATTAGTTCTTATATTCAGGTGATCATAGCTTATGAAATTTAAATAGTTCCACTAAACATATCACATTTCCTATATTTATAGCAGAAGTACTGGCTGACCCAATAGAGGTCTGGCATGTGAAGTTAGGCGCCATTGGGGCTGCAGTGGTTCCAGTGTTCACGGGCATGTCTGATGAATCAGGTGCTGATGACAGTAGGGAAGCCTCATGGTGATGAAAAGAGCCTCAAAGGAGAACTGATACCTACTTAAGGTGGAATCTGGCACAGGGAGTGGACTCAGCAACAGGATCTGAAGACTGGAGAGCACTGATGTTTCCAATTAACAGCATGGTAGCTATTTACAACATTCCAACTGAACTACTCCAGGAGCAAGTGAACACTTGGAAGCAGAGGGCATATTTTGCAAACAAACAGAATTGTCCCCTAACACTCAGGAGCTGAGGGCCTCAGCTGGGAGCACACAGTAACAGAACAGAACTTAAAGGGTGGGAAGTTACTCTCCTGCTCTGGTCCAGATCCATAGCTGAACAGTGACTGAAGCTTAGCCTGAGATGCAGCACCAGACGGCATCTGTGAAGCCTGAATGTTGGCGGTCAGGAGCCAGTGATAAAGGCTGTGCAAATGATGGCCAGAGTGGACGGGGCTGGCATTGGCCAGAGTAGCACAGTCCGTACTTTACCCAGAGTGCCTGGGAGAAACACCCCCAGTGACTCTTGGAAATGCAAAAGAGGTGAGAACCTAAAAATGGCAAGAATATGTGAAAGAAGGGAAGGGAACAGTGATAGTTTTACAGATAAGAGTTATCAAGCAAACAAAGATCTAGGCCAGTTGTCCTCGACTTTGGCTACACATGGGCTGGGGTGGGGGAGAGACAGAGTTGGAGCATAGGGTCTGGCAAGAAGAGTGGCCCTGGTAAATAGTCCAGGCCTTCAGCTGAGACCCACAATAGGCTACACCTTAGAGGTCAAGACAGATGGACAGTAAACATACTTTGAGTCAGCTCAATCCCAGGACAGTTTAAAGCGATTGGCCTTGTCTGTCAAAATCAAAAATACATACCCTCTGGAGGAGTCTAACATCTTGTAAGCTTTAAATTGTCTCTACAGGTTTTCATACATAATGCCTGGTACATAAAATATATAAAGCAGTACTTGGCAAGACCACATAATTGAAAACCCATAAGAAAAAAATGGACAATGAAAAGAGACCATCAGGAGATCCAGATACTGAAGTTAACTGACTTACATGATAGATATGTTTTAAAACACTTATTAATATATTCAGGAAAATATATGGCAAAATAGAAAATTTCATCAAAGAACTGTAATCTATTAAAAAGGATCACATGAAATGCTAAAACTAAACATATAACAAATTAATAATGCAACAGATGACGTTAAGAACAAACTGACACAAAGAAAGGGTTAGTGAGTTTTAGGGTAGGCTGGTAAAATATATTCAGATCAAAGCAAAGAGAATAAAAGAATGCCTGGCTGGTTTAACACCTAAAATTCAGTTCATATAATTCAGCACATTAATGGAATATAGCAGAATAATCGTATGATCTGTTCGATATATAAGGAAAACACATTTGATGAAAGTTAACACCTATTCATAGTAAAAACTGTTAGCAAAGTAGAAATAGAAAGAAAATCCTTAATCTAATAAAGGGTATTTACAATAAATCTAAAACAACATATTTTATTGCTTGTTCCCTGAGATTATGAATAAGACACAGATGTTTCTTATTATCACTTCTATTTTATATTTTACCAGTGGTACAAGAAATATATATAAAAGGCATAAGAATTAGAAAGGAAGAAACAAAGCTGTCATTAATAATAACTATAAAAAATACAAAAGGATTTATAGTAGAACTATTTAATTTAGTAAGTGAATAATAGCAAAGTGAATGAAAGGACAAAATACAAAAGTCAACTTTATCTCTACATGTCAACACTAAACAAGTGAAAAGATAATATTTGAAATCTACCATTTAAAACAGCATCAGAAAACATCTATACCCAGGATTAGATCCAACTAAATATATATAAAACTGCTACAGATAACATTACAAAATATTAGTGCAGTAAGTTAAAGAAGACCTAAATAAATGGAGAGATATGTCACACTTATGAGTCAGAAGATTCAACATTATAACACTGTCAATTCAACCCAAGTTGATTTTTAGATTTAATGCAATCCATCCAATTACTAGCAGTGTGTGTCTGTCTGTGTGTATGGGAACACTAATTCTAAAATTACATAGAAGTGTAAAGGGCCAAGAATGGCTAAGATAACTTCAAGGACTTGCCCTACTGGATAGCAAGAGTTATGACAAAGCCATGGATATAGAATGTTGTATTTGTGCAAGTTCAGACAAATAGTTCAAAAATTGACCCATACATAAATATATACTTGATTTTGACAAATGCCAACTTGAACAATATTGAGAAAGTGAGGATCTTTTTAATAAATAGTGTTGGGTCAATCGAATAACCATATGAAGAAAGCAATGAATCTTGACCCTATCTCACACCATATACAAAATTCAACTCTAAGCAAACTGCAGATCTAAACAGGTGAGTTTAAAGGTTTAAGTTCTTAGAATATAACAGGATAATATGTTGATTACTTTTGCATAGGCAAAGATTCTTTCCATATATATACATATATGTATATAATTTTATTTATTTCTTTTGAGAGAGAGAGAGAGAGAGAGAGAACACAAGCAACTAAGGGGCAGAGAGAAGGACACACAGAATCCCAAGCAGACTCTGTGCTGTCAGCTCAGAGCAGGATGTGGGGCTCAAACTCACAACTGTGAGATCAAGACTTGAGCTGAGACCCAGTCTGGCACTTAACTAACTGAGGCACCCAGGCACCCCTAGGCAAAGATTTCTTATACAGAAAACACTAACCATAAAGAAATAACAACAACTTTGCTTCAACAAAGACTCTGTTAGGGGAAAAAATACTGGGGAGAAATATTTGCAATACATACATCCTACAGTGGGCTCAGATTCAGGCTATATAAAGCATTCCTATAAATTGATAAAAAAAAATAGACAAGCCAATATAAAAATGGGCAAAAGACTTAGATAGGCACTACACGAAAGAGGTAACCCAGTGGCCAATCAACATTTGAAAGTGCAGTCAATCTCAATAGCAATAGGGAAGTGCAAGTTAAACTGACAATGAACTGCCAACACAGAACAGTGGAATGACTAAAATTTAAAAGATGGATAATACCAAATAAAGTCAAGGAAGCGTTTTATTAACGTAGCATTTGCCTTGTTGTTCTGTCCCTTGACTTCAGGATTTTACCTCTTTAGCCAGATAGCCGTACCAACTTCATCTCCAAGAATCTCTCTGTCTCTCCCCCCGCCCCAGTCATACACTTAGCCCTCTGTCCAAAATATCATCTCCAATCTTTCCTGCCAAATCATGTTTCTCCTTTTCTTCTAATCTCTGTTGGCACTCCCTGTTAAAAAATCTTTCCAGCAACACCACGCCAACTTGACTTCCAAACAAGAATAAAGTCCTTCCTGTGCCTTCATCCCTAGCCAGTTCCAGCTCTCCCCAACTCCCATCTTCTAGGCAGATACAGGTTGCTTCTCCTATGTATACTAGAGATCAGACACACTTGGACTTCAGTCAGGTGCCTTTAATATCTTCTTTGTGCTCATCCTTTCTCTCCTTTTGAAATGTAGGTTTCCAAAGGGCAGGAACCATAGTGCATATCTCCCCCAGAGCCTACTAATGAGTGACAATTTTGATTGAGTAAAGCTAAAAAAAATGAAATGTCCTTAAGAACTTCATTTTTGTCCATCTTAAAAAGGAATGTTTATTCTGTATTTTGATTACTAAGAATGCTTGCATGCAAAGAAAAAAAAAACACCCTAAGAATTTGGCCTCGAAAAACAAAGGATTATATATTTTCTTTCTTTCTTTTTTTTTTAAATGTTTTATTTATTTCTAGGAGAGAGAGAGAGAGAGACAGCGTGAGCAGGGGAGGGTCAGAGAGAGAGGGAGTCACAGACTGAAATAGGCTCCAGGCTCTGAGCTGGCAGTCAGCACAGAGCCCGACACGGGGCCCGAACCCACGAACCTAAGCGAAATCATGACCTAAGCGAAAGTCAGACACTTAACTGACTAAGCCACCCAGGCGCCCCAGGATTATATATTTTCTGAGCCATGAACTGAGAAAGAATTCTTATCCTGTGACGAATTCTGTTGTTACATTGGAAAAAAAAAATTTAAGGTACCTGAAAACTGAGGAAAGGACAAAAAGGGATACATAGTTTCTGCCATGGGCTTAGGGTGCTTACGTAAACACTGTGTCAATACAATGGAAAACAATTTAACCTTGACCAAACAAAAGAGGGAAAAATCCTATCAGAGGCCTATGCTGGACTTGTCACTCTGCCCTGCCTTCACAGTAAGGGCCAGATTCCTATCCTGTACTGATTTACGGACTTTTTCTAGTGGAAAGTAGGATGCCAGTCTCACCTCCAAAGTCAATTTGAGAAAATACATGGAAATAGAGATAAAAGGCAACCAACTCACAACCAAAGTTCTTTTCATTAAAGTGTCAGCAAGTCTTCAAAACTGATGTCTCCTATTTCATATAAATGAAAAGAAAGTCAAATGACACAGGGCCAGGAAAATAAACACCATGTTTATAATTAGACG